GCACTGGGCAGATTTCAAAGACCACCAGGCTAGAGTGAGCAGGATGATCAAGTGTGTGTTAGGGTTAGGGTTAGGGTTAGGGTTAGGGTTAGGGTTAGGGTGTGTGTGTGTATGTGTGTGTGTGTGTGTGTGTGTGTGTGTGTGTGTGTGATGTGCACATACATCCTTTATCATTGGAAATAATCCTTATTGTCTACTTAGGAGGACCACCCTGATCATCCCATGTGAATAAAGACGCATAGAGCATTTTATTGGGGGGGGGGTCTCTTTAAGACAAAATTTCTTTCCTGCATAAAAGGGAAGAATTCCAGCTCAGGTCAGTCATAAGCAGTCTAGATCATGTCCAGAAACTGATTCTGACTGCCACTAAGGCCACACACTTAGTAAATGTCTTTTCATTTTGTCAGGGAGCTAATGAGCAGCTCTTTTTAAACTTTGGTTTTCCAGAAAATTCACTGCAGGCAAAACCAATGGTCTTGGGCAAGAACTCATGAGTGTGTTTGGAATGGTGGCATGCTGCTGGGGTGTTGGTTGCCTAATCCTACTTGGTGTCAACATTGGTCTGAACTGGCAAAGAGAGCACAGTCTAGGTTCCTGGTTCTTGTATAGACTTTTCTAACCCCCAGTCCTTCCCTCCTTGTCTTTGGCCTATGAACTGACAGCATGATTCAGCTGAGTCATCTTCCTGATGTATTAGGCAAGGCAGGTGATTGCTGGCCACTGTTGTCTGGCTGTCATATGCCTCAGATTCTGTGCCTGATTTTGAAATTAAGTGATTTTAGGCATCCCCCCTCATGTCTGGGACTTGAATTCGATTAGACAACAGGAAAAGCATTGGGCTGTAATTCATGTTATTCTATTAGGGCTGCCATAGCAAGGTATCGCAGACTTGGAGGGGAGGCAGGTGGGACACAGAACATTAATGTCCTTTCTTTTGTTTATAGCTGATTATTCAAGCTCTAGGTGAAAGCAGGCCTGGCTTTTTCTCAGACCTGACCCTTTCTCTGCAGTAGGGTGCCCCCTTCAGGCCTCTACATATGATGAATCTTTTATACACACTTACCTGTAGTGTCACTTTGTATGTCCTAAATTCCTCTGACAATGACATCAATCAGATAGGATTAGTGTCCACCATCATGGCTTTGTTTTATGGTTCTAACCTCTTAATGGACTTACGGCCAAACACAGTCACATTATAAAGTTTGAGGTTAGAGGTTCTACCTCATATGAATTGTTGGCATGAGCAATTCAACCCTTAGCAAACACATGGGTGATCTGACCGCAGAACTACAGATTCTTCATCTTACTTTGGGTTTACCCTAAAGTGGACTTGAGACTCAAGCACTCAAGGAGAAGTTTATTTGGAGAGATGCAGGGAGTGGTGATGGGAATAATGAGAGGGAAAAAGGAGAAAGTGATCAGTGAATGGGTGATTATGCAGTCAGCTAGCACCATGGGTGACCAGAGTCAATGCCAGGGGAAGAAGCTGGGCAAAGAATGTGTCCAGCAGAGAGGAAAAGGTAGTTATATGCCAATTCTAAATAGTCACTGGACTGAGAATCACTCCATATAGTAGCAGACTCTGGAACCCCTAGCTAGAACTATGGCCTGTCATGCAGGCTGTGACATTGCTTTACTTCAAAAAAGTTCCTAACAGCCTGGCCTGGTAGTACATGTATTTAATTCAAGTACTTGGGAGGCAGAGACAGGAAGATCTCTGTGATATTGAGATAAACGTGAACTACATAGCAAATTCTAGGACAGGGAGCTGTAGGAAGACTCTGTCTCAGCAACAAAAACAAAAACAAAGAAAAAGTGCTTAACAGGGATAGGAGCTCTTAGCAGGTAGAAATCATACAAGAGCACTGAGTTGTGTGGCCCCAGGACGATAGCCCACCACCACCAGCATCTTCTTTACCATTCTTATTCTGAGTTCTATGAAAATGGCTGTGGTGTGAGCATTTTCAGTTCAGATTAGGTGACAGACAAGAGACAAAACTAACCAAGTCCCCTATGTTACCATGCATAAAATATTTGCATTCTGCCTATATTTTTTTATGGACAACCACTCAAATACATAATGGCTCCAACGTGGACATTTATTTCTTTGTCCTAAGAAAGCCAAAACACTGTTGTAGATCACAGAATGGCTGTTGTCCAGGTATAGATCAGGGATTCAGGATCCTGCCATCTTGTACCTTCCTGGTCTCTTAAACTTCACAGCTGTTGTGTCTAGCTAGTTGTAGGGGAAACTGTACATGGAGGAGGTTCAGCTGTCTCTTAACTGCACTGGTCTGGAACATCCTTCCTCCTTATGCTCCTCCTACTTCATTGTCAATAACTAACTTTATGTCTCCGGTTAAATGCCAGCAGTTCTGGAACTTATGACTGTTCTCTGAGCTGGGCTTTCCCAGCACAAAGTCAGTACTGTCAAGAAAAGTTTCAGTGTTCCTTTGTCACCCAGCCACTGCTTCTTCCTGGAAACAGAAGAGTTTTGTTTCTAAGCACCTGGCTCCCCACTGTCCTCCTTGTTCCATACAGAGCTCTGTGCTCATCTAACCACAAGGCTTGAAAGACACAGGGAACACTAGGAGAAATGTTTCCATGGGTACTTTGATTAGGAAAAGTGGAAGAAATCCCAGGAGGGAGAGGATACCTCAGGTCTCCCACAGTTCAGACATGTGTGTGCTTTGCACACCCACAAAGTTTTTTCATGATGAGCACAATAGTTAGGAATATGACTCAACAGTCATACGAGTTTTGTTCAGTCTAACTCAGTAAGACAAAACACAGCATAGAACTGGGGAAATGGGCAAGAGGCTACAACTTTGGTGAGAAACTATTGGCAGCTGATCCCTGCGGGGCGAGGGAGAGTTGGTCTTCTTTAAGGGAGTGACACTAGACAGGCTGAACAGGCTCTAGTAGATGAACTCACACCAAGGGACACCTGGGTACACAAACTTGGCTAGATAGGCCTTAACATATGTGACAAACTGCATGAAGTCCTGTGGACGGGCCGTAGTGGGGGTGCAGATAGGGAAGGGGGTGTCTAAATAGAATTAACATGTATAAAATCCACAAAAATTCAATAAAAATATACTTTAAAAAAAGCTTTTCCATTTTTGTGCAGTACAATCTTGGGCCAGTCTCAGCCACACTGAGCCTCAGGATCCGCTAGTGTGAACCACAGAATTATTCTGAGAATCATTGTCCTACATACACAGGAGCATAAGGTTTGCTAACTGTAAACTCTCAAGAAATATTTAGTGAAGGAATGTAGGGATGAATAAAAATAGAAAATGCAAATAAATACAAACAGTGTGAGCACCAAGACATGGGCGTTATAATACTATTCTGGATGTAAACCATCCAGATTTGCGTGCCAGTGATGATGCCTACGGTCATGAAAATGGGATCACATTACACATAACTGTGTTTAAGTCTCTATTTCTGTTTTATGGAGGTATAGTCCACTTATACTATACCTTTGAACAAATTTTAGTATATTTAAAAATATGCATAGTGTGTTATACATCACTACCAACCTACCAGAATATGTTTTTCATCAGAGCAGGTTTGTTCTGAAACAGCGTCGGAAACCAAATGCAGCCTTCCTCCCATCAGCAGTTGTTCTTTAGTTCTTTATTTTCCTCCTCACACCATCTTCTTCAGCCCCTAATAACCAGAAATCACTTTTCATCTCTGTGTATTTGTTTGTTCTGAAAACTTCATACAACTAGACCCATAGACTGTGACTGGCTTCTTCCATTTCCAGTGTTTTCAAGTATCTTCTGCACGTAGCATGTTTTTCTTACATAGTATTCAACAAGGGCTATGCACTACTTATTTACTAATTCATTAGTTCATGGTCATTTAGGCTATTCCCCCTTTTAATATACGATAAATAGTGGTGCTATTTTATAGATCTGTGTGACTCACGGTTTTAATAATTGTGCATATGTTCCTAGGAATGGAATTTTGTGCCATGTGAAAAATCTCCGCTCAACTTTTAGAGACCCTGACAAACTGTATCCCTAACTGCCATGATAATCTGTAATTTGTGTTTTCCTTTTGACCATCCATCCTATCTGGATTTCCATGTCAACATACAGAAATGCCCTATACTAATTTGAGTGACTGTGTGTGGTATTTATTTAGTCATCTGTACCAGACTGAATTTAAATAAATCTCTATTAGAGGGCATTTGGTGAACTAATGAAGATTTGAGCAACTTCCTTGAGCCCTCAGACTTGGTAAATGAGCCTCTCCCAGCTACAACCACACTGAAGCTTTTCCATGCACTACAATCTCTTTCTGTCTTCATAAGTGTTTTGGTGAATATTTCAAATATGCATAAATAAATGGATGGGTGGATGATTAAAGCTAAGGATTTTGGAGAAAGGGAGTTCATTTACTCTAAGAACATTTTGTACGTAAATCCTTACTCTAAAAGCTACTGAGCTGCTTGACCTTGGCTGTGTGTGACACTAGGCAAGGCCCCTTGGCAAGAATACTGCAAAGCTAAAGTTGACTTCACTAAAGAGGAAGGATGATATTTAACATTGCTACCTTGAAAGCCTAAAACTAGGAAGCACCAGCTGATAGAGGCTGAGGGAGATGCTCTAATCTCTCTGGTAAGTGGCTGTGGGACTGTGAGGCGCTCTAAAAATTTCCGGTTTGTAATAAGGACCCCTCACCCAAGCTTTGCCTTGACTGAAGGCATTTGCCTGAGCTTGAGAAGCTCACAGAACACTGAAGTGAGAGGGTTAAAAGGAGAGTTGTTTATGTAAGAAGTTGTTAGCTGGCTGTGTTTCTGGCCATTTGTAATCCGAGAGTTGGGTCCTGACTGTTCACACAAGAGAAAGCAATCTCTGGGTGGGAAAACATTCAGATAAAGCAGGGTGAACTCTCAGGAGGCGTGGCTTGGGAGGTTGTTTTTTTTTCTTTCTAGAGTTTATAATTGGACTTTGTGTGTTGGATTTCTGGGCAGGTCTCCAGCATGTGGGTAGAACTAGCACATTCCCCTTTCTTATAGATCAGAGTCAGAATCTTCACTGACCTATGAGCTTGTCTTCCACAATGAGCCTCTGTGCTCTGGTCTTGGTGTCTTTATCAGCATGTATGGCTTGGGGTGAGTACTTTTGAAATAAAAATATTGTGACCGCTTTTTAAAATACTTTGGGAGATGCATATAGAGCAAAGGTAAGACAGATCCAATTCTGCAGACTTTGATTTGCCTGTGAGGTTTCCCAGACCAGGATAGCCTTGGGAATGGATACACTTGAGATCAGGCGAGTGTACAGACTCTGAGACTCTGTAGCACATGACAGGTAGAGAAGCTGTGAGCTAACCTATGCCTCACCAAGAGCATGTGCACAGCTCAGTTCCTCTTCACTGGACCATGGGGAGAATTAAATAGGATTTTTTTCTAAAGTGCTCATAGTGGAGACTATTTGAGAGAAGGTGTGAGAACCAAATGGTTGAATGAAGTGTATTTTAGGTAATAGGAGGAGGCAATGGCCATGGAAAAGACACCTTTGTTATTGATGGTTCTCAAGAGGAGGGATGCAGTGCTCAGGCAGGGGCAAAGACTAAGCACCAGGTCATCCAGGAGGCACAAGGGTGGGCAGTTTACGGCAAGTGCCTCTTTGGGGTCTCTTCTGAAGAGGTGAAACAGTGTAAGCAGGAGTAGAATTTGCTAGAATTCCAACCGACTCTTTGGCACGGTGCTTATCTTGGTTGTTTGGTGCAAAGTGCTGGGTGATGATGGCAGGTTGACAGTGGTCCATGCTATGATATCTAGATAAGAGAAGTGGTTGGTGGAGGTGATTCTGGATCGGATGGACCCTGGGAGTGACAATTCCTACAGAGTCATGATGCTCTTCTAAGTTAAAAGATCAGGCACAAATGAAATTCCTGTTAATATATATCTATAGCATTGGGTCTCAGTGCTTAGCAATGCCATTTTATCAACTTAGAAACTGAAGCACACAGGGACAGAAAATCTTCTGAGGTCATCTGAAGAATCATGTCCTGGTCGCTTTCTGGCTCCTGAATCTGGAGTTACTGCTCTATCAGTGCCCTGACAGCCTTTCCCTGTCTGGAGTTTATTTTCTCTCTGGGCATGTGACACTGACACTGGGAAAGTCCTGTAGTTGAATGTAATCCAAAGTAAGAAAGGAGTCGAATTCAGAGGGGAACATTCTTTTGCTGCTGTTTCCATGGCAATGACACCCTATTACCATCTTTAGGCGCTCCACACAGACTGCTTCCCAAAGCCTGCTTGCTTATCTATCAAGTTACTAACAGTTACCTAGCAAGTCTTTTTATGAATTATGTGAAGGAACTGGAATGCACATCTGATATACAGTAGATGTCCCATATGTGTGCACTACATATAATGTAAGAGGCATTTATTCTTGGTTATTCTCTGGTTTCTCCCTCTCCCATGTATTCAAACACATTTTACTCTGGGTGATCTGGATAAAAGTTTATCCCTGAGCTACTGCAGGGTACATCTAAAGGACTTTAACCTCTTTCAACTCAGAAACACCAGAACTTTTTAGAAGCTCATTGTATCTTTGCACTAGAACTGCCTCTGACACTTACTTGTCTACCATGTGAAGCCTAATCCTTTAGCCTGGCATTCAGTGCCCTCCCCGACACACACCTGCTCACCCTGGATTAGTGTTTTCTCTACTCACTAATTCACCTGGTGGCAGTCATCTGCTGCTCTTCCTTCCTGGCCTTGCCTCTGTGTGGTACACTTTCTGGAACTCTTACTTTTGCATATTTCTTAGCCACTCTAACTTTCCATCCTCCTGAGTCATTCCTCCTTTTGTCCCATGTCCCAGTTCCTTCATGATGATGCCCATCTAAAGGCCTCACTCCTTCCAACTTCTCTATCACCTTCCTGGTGTCTCTTCCAGGGACAAACCTCTTTCATTTCATCATTAAGTCAGCTGTGTATTTTATCCTCTAAGATCCACCCTCCTGAGACAAGGAGCCAGTTTTTGTTCCACCTCTCATTTAGCATGCAACTCAGGACCACGATTGTAATGGATACAGGTTACAACAGGCTTCCTAGATGGAAAACCAACATCTTTTATTTCTAGCAGTTCTGTTTCTGAAATGATTTTCATTGGTTATTCTGCAACTTGAAATTCCAGTTGACTTTTCAATCAGCCCTCTGAGATGTGTTCCTGATCCTAGTCATGCAGGAAACAAATGAAACCTAGATGGACTGAGGTGATTTATTCAAGGTCACATGCATAGAAAGTGGGGAAATCCATTTGGAATCCAGATCTGATCTTTCATCTCTAATGGGCTCTTGTTTCCTTTTCACGTCCAGCAGGGCACCTTCCCTCATCACCTGTGGTGAACACTGTGTATGGCGAAGTCTTGGGGAAGTATGTCAGCTTAAAAGGATTCACACAGCCTGTGGCCATTTTCCTGGGCGTCCCCTTTGCCCAGCCCCCTCTTGGAGCCCTGAGGTTTTCTCCACCACAGCCAGCAGAACCATGGAACTTTGTGAAGAATGCCACCTCCTACCCTCCTATGTAAGATGCAGGGGTGTCTTGGGCTTCCACAGGGATCTAGGGAGAAGTAATTCTTATCAGCTATACTTTGTTATATAATCCTCAAGAATGTTCCTGAAACTTTCCAGACCTTGTATACATTTGCAGAGTCCCTGTGCAGAGCATATGCACTGAGCATCTGTTGGGAGCCAGGCATGCTGTAATGAGGATCCATTAGTGAATAAAACTAAGATTCCTGTCATCATGGAGTTGTGCTCCACCATGGGAGACAAATGACAAGAAAAACTGAAGTTAATAAACGACCCAAATCCTTCCTTTAAAATATCTTCTCCCACCTTGATAAAGCAGGATTCTCTGTCACAATGCTTCAAGTCCCTTTTGTCAGATTTAAATATTTTATTTTATTTTTTAACTTTCAGCATCATTGATCAACATTTTTACTTTGAAACAATTCAGATTTGTTCTGGCATTGCATTTATCTTCCTGAACATAAACATTTTGAGGAAACAATGAGTTAGTTTATAAGCACTGCCAACCCATACAGGTAAAACAAGAATGGGAGAACCCCTTGATGCCCTGAAGGCTCACTCATCAGCTTATCTGTCTCTTTGTTACTGTTTTTACTATGTATGTATACTGTCGAGTCTCAGAAATCCAGTAAAATTATAATGTTTCCTATTCTTGACAAGTAAAAAATAATAAACCTTATTGAGCATGTTAGAGCATTGTAAGTGAGGAGGGGAGACACCCTGCTGCCCTCTAATCTCCAGTGCTGAAGTTTGTGTGGTAACAGAAACAGAGGAGGGAGCCCCTGTGTCTACTCACCTAGTCATACCCTGAACAATGGTTTGTGTTGTACCCTAATCTCCCTGGCCAGGTTCTACAAAGCCCAAAGTGTCCAGGTAGCCTGAGACCTGCCCACAGAGAACTCAAGACAACAACAAATGTTGGTTCAGGTTCAGATATTATTCATCTTCTTGACAAGGGATGTCTGAGGATTTACAAGGTCCTACTTCTAGGCTGCATGTGGTGGCACAAGTCTTTAATCCCAGTTTACAGGAGGCAGAGGCAAGCAGATCTCCATGAGATTGAGGCCAGCCTGGACTACATAGTAGTTCTGGGCCAGCTGTGGATATAGGGAGACCCTGTCTCAAAAAACAAAAAAGAAACAAATGAAAAAGATCTTACCTCTAGATACTTTTTTTCTTTTACAAACAATATTTGATGTTTTTATATCGTAATCCCCAAACCCATATACATATATATACATATATATATATATATATATGGTGTGTGTGTGTATTAGGAAATACAGAGAAGTAAGAGTTAAAAGCCAAAACAAAACACTGAAAGAACACACAATCCCTCTACTCAGAGAGAACTGATGTCACAACATCAGCCTTTATTTCCAGCCTTTTATCTGTTGTCTACTTCCTGCTTTGAAAACATGTCATGCATACTGGTAAACTAGATGGCTGCCTGGCTCACTACCATTACCAGCATCACTCGCTGCCATTAAATATCACAGACTGATATTTAAAAGCTGTACTAAATTCAGCACCTAACTGGAATTACTTACTTAATCTCTAATTTGAAGTTGTTAAGATTTTTCTATGTACTTGACATTATAAATAATACTATGATCAACACCTTGTAGCTCAATCATTGCACATATTGATGACTGTTTGAGGGTAAGTTCTAAGAATTTGCATTTCTGAGTCAATGAGTATGAACCTTTGGTTAAATTTAAGACTGTTATACCTCTTACAATTGGTGATGCAGGAAAAACTCCCCAGGACAAAAATCTATAAATCATTTATTTTGGATCCACGGAAGCCACTTGACAGTTGTGTCATCCTGGCACTTGAGAGCCTTGGGTTTTTCCTTGTACATACGGAGGGTAGTGTGACTGCCTTCAGGGTCCACTGGAATCTGAGAATATTGTTTGTAATCTACTAGGAAAAATAAATACTGCATAGTTTGCATCCACCTGATTATATGACCTTGAGCAGGCTCTCAAACCTGCCTGTTCTTAGCTCATCCATAAGCTGAGGATAAGTATAGAACCCATGCTGGGCTGATCTGAAGCTTAAATGAGTTAGTACACAAGGAGAATTACAACCGATGCCTGGTACTCTGGGAGGACTTAGTAATTCCCACCAAGTCTACTCAACTTTGAACCTTGGGTGACTTCTTGTTAGAGAAGCCAGCAGTGATTTGTGGGAAAGGGAGATGATAGAACCTTAGCAGGCACTGATGGCAAGGTCATTAGAGACAGCACTCGCCTTACCTGGACTTGGGAGATTGAGGTAGAGAAGGAAATAAACTCAGCCAATATCACCTAAGAATGCAGCTCTCTGAGGTTGTCCCACAAGGGTGTTAGTCATGATCTTCAACAGGATAAAGTGTTACTGGAGGTTCCCTGGCTTTCCAAAATCTTCTAAGAACTAGAACATGCTTGCCTGATGGAAAAATCAGGGTCACCCTCAGCCCACGGCAGAGCACTATGCAGGCAGTGCAAGGACTGTTACCTCCTGGGGCAGGTCAGCTTATGATCATCTCTTCTCCATTGTCCAGAGCATCCCAAAGGCTCTAGGAAAGGAGAGTTGCCAAGTCCTTCTCCCTCTCAGGGCTGGGAGACTCTAGAGACCCAGTGTTCTCAATAGTACACCTAGAGACCCTCTTACCTATTACATCAGATTTCATTCCAGTGAAATGAATTCCATTTATAAGCTCACACCTCCCACTGATGTCAGGATCTAGATGATGTTTCCAGTTTCTATCTATTGGACCTCAGGTATTCTCTCTTCCCTCTCAGGTGCTCCCAAGATGCAGTTAGAGGGCAGAATGCCAATGACCTCATAACCAACAGAAAGGAGAAAATTCATCTGGAGTTTTCTGAAGACTGTCTCTACCTGAATATTTACACGCCTGCCGCCTGCCGACTTGAGGAAGAACAGTAGGTTGCCAGTAAGTGTGCAAACAGTCCTAGTCTTGTGTGTTACAGACTCCACCTCTTCAGTGCAACTCAGAGGGGATGAAGACATATGGGGGCAGGAGCATTATGGGTCATGATCAATGTAGGGACCCAGAACTTCCTTTCACTGCAGGAAAATCAACTTTGGAAGACTATGGCAGAATTGTTATATACCTGGAATGTGCATTTTAATTTTTCCAAGTTCTGTTACAGTCATGAAAATTTACAGAAAGAATAATGTTTAGTTTTGACATTAAGCATCTGAACCTCATAGTAGCTAAGACAAATTTCAAACAAAGTAAGGACCAGAAAGGAACTTAGAGGAAACTTAGAGAAAACAGAAACTCAGGTAGACACAGAAGGGATAACAGGACAGGAGTTTGGGTCCTGGATCTTCACACCTATACTCTTAGACAGGGACTAGTAATAGAGATGTGCACTGCCGTTCTCCCCACATTACCTGTGACAACTTTCACTGCCAAGTGAAAATTCTCACTGTCTCCTAATGGTGGTTTATGGTGAGAAGCCTGTGTCACTCTCATAAACACTTTTCTTGCCCTTTGGTAACCATTTGTTGTTTTTATTGTAGCTCCTTTCCCTCCATAATTACCTTTGGCAAATGCTGATGACCTGTTGAGTCTGACTTTCTCTTGTAAATGGAGATCCGGAGATGGGTCTGGCCACCAGTTATAGGTCCCAGGGTTGGGAAGAAGCACTATAAAAGAGACCATCTCTGAATTGGAATAAGACGGGATGTCAGAACCCACTCAGTCTCCCAGGTGCACCTGGGATAGAACTTAGAAGTGGAGGAGGAGGCTGTGAGTTCAGGAATGGAATTTGATTCTAAAAATTCTTGCTTTATATAGAGAGGTGAGAATGAATCTTTCCCACTCATTCATTTGCCTTCTACTTCGGATGCACTGTCTCCGTACATAGACTTGGGGTCAGGGAAAGCGGTAACATGAGCCATTATGGATAACCTTGCTTTCAAGGATCTTGTCATCTTGTCTGCACAGATA